GCTGCTAAATTATATATAGATTAAACTATAGAGCTACACTGCCTAGTAAGTTGGAGGATGCAATAATTCAAATACAAAATGAAACCTATGTAACACATCCCATTTATCTTTTTGCATAGAATTATATGTATAATCAATTATCATTTCAAAACTCCTGAACCAATTTTTTGGAAACTTAGTACATATGTGCCAAATATATTTGCATTGCATTTTTTGAAAATATGAAAAATGGTAACCATGAAAATAGAAAAATAATACATCATTTTCCTGGAATGAAGTATGCATTTTGGCGATTTTTAGAAAATAAACATGACGAGGAATGTATTTTTTTTGTTTTCTTGCTCCCTAGATTTGATTCTCTCTTTTAAAATAAGTATGGTTGAGAAAATAAAATTTTCTGATAAAATACTGTATAGCATATGACTTTTGTTCCAGACACAATTGTTATGTGTAGATTTAAAGAGTACACATTGACAATATTGACAATATTTTTTACAAAACCAACCATATATTGATACTACATAGTTGCATATTTTTTATTTTGTCGGTCATCAGCAATAATCTAAGTGTGTATTCATGAATGTAACGACTAGTTACGAGATTAACCGACTAATTTACATAAATTAACCATTTTGAAGTTGAACGAACAGTGATCAGTGATCACGTGACTGTTGATGCCATTGCAAGGATCAATTATAATAAAGCCACTCAGTTGATTTCGATTTCTAATCTGGAGTCTGACAATAAATAAACAAGAACACTAATGTGTACAAAATGTCCTGACCTATGGGTGATCCAGTCAAATGGTTGTCCTAAAAATGAGTAGACAAGACTTTACTGACACAATTTGAGGACGGAAAATCCAAAATGGCCACCTTGAAATTTACCCAGAATACAAAAATTAGTCACTTCTACATTTTCATACTAAGAACCACCCCTGAAAATTTGAAATTGATCCTTCACACAGTTAACCAGAAAACATGTAAACAAGACTTTACAGACAAGATTTTAGGACGGAAAATCCAAAATGGCTGCCTTGACATTTACCCAGAATGCCAAAATACTAATCAGATCTAGATTTTCATACTTAGAATCATCCCTGAAAATTTGAAATTGATCTACCAAAGGGTTCACCTAAAAACGCATAGACAAGACTTTAAGGGCAAGATTTTAAGACGGAAAATCCAAAATGGCTGCCTCGACATTCATCCAGAATGCCCAAAAACTAATCAGATCTAGATTTTCATACTAAGAATCATCCCTGAAAATTTGAAATTGATCTAACAAACGGTTCACCTGGAAATGCGTAGACAAGACTTTACAGACAAGATTTTAGGATGGAAAATCCAAAATGGCTGCCTTGACATTTACCAAGAATGCCCAAAAACTGATCAGATCAAGATTTTCATTCTAAGAATCATCCCTGAAAATTTGAAATTGATCTACCAAACAGTTCACCTCAAAACGCGTAGATAAACATGTAGATAAGACTTTAAAGAGAAGATTTTAGGATGGAAAATCCAAAATGGCCACCTTAAAATTTACCCAGAATGCGGAACAACTAATCAGTTTCTATATTTTCATACTAAAAATCATCCCCGAAAATTTGAAATTGATCCCTCAAACAGTTAACCTGAAAACGTATAAACACAAATTTACAGACAAGATTTTAGGACAGAAAATCCAAAATGACTGCCTTAACATTTACCTATAATGATTAAGAACCAGACCTGAAAATTTGAAATTGATCTGTCAAACAGTTAACCTGAAAACATGAATACAAGACTTTACAGACAGGATTTTATGACGGAAAATTCAAAATGGCTACCTTAACATTTACCCAATTTGCCGAAAAAGTGAACAGTTCTAGATTTTCTTACTATGAATCATCCCCGAATATTTGAAATTGATCTGTCAAATGGTTATCTTGAAAATGAGTGGACAAGCCTTTACAGACATAATTTTAGGGCGAAAAAGCAAAAATGGCTACCTAAAAATTTACTCAGAATGCCGAAAAAGTAAACAGTTCTATATTTTCATACTAAGAACCATTCCTAAAAATTTGAAATTGATCCCTCTAACAGTTAACCTGAGAATGAATAAACAATACTTTACAGACACGCTTTTGAGGACGGAAAATCCAAAATGGCCACCTTAAAATGTACCAAGAATGCCGAAAAACTAATCAATTCTAGATTTTCACACTAAAAATTATCCCCGAAAATTTGAAATTGATCTGTCAAATGGTTATCCTGAAAATGAGTAAACAAGACTTTGCAGACACGATTTTAGGAAGGAAAATCCAAAATGGCCACCTTAAAATTCACCCAGAATGCCAATAAAAATGATCAGTTCTAGATTTTCATACTTAAGCCCTGAAAATTTGAAATTGAGTCGTGAAACAGTTAGCCTAAAAACGGGTAGACAAGACTTTACAGACAAGATTTTAGGACGCAAAATCCAAAATGGCTGCCTTGACATTTACCCAGAGTGCCAAAAAACTAATCTGTTCTAGATTTTCATACTAAGAATCATCCCTGAAAATTTGAAATTGATCTACCAAACGGTTCACCTGGAAATGCGTAGACAAGACTTTACGGGCAAGATTTTAGGACAGAAAATCCAAAATGGCTGCCTTGACATCTACCCAGAATGCCCAAAAACTAAGCAGATCTAGATTTTTATACTAAGAATCATCCCTGAAAATTTCAAATTGATCTACCAAACGGTTCACCAGAAAACGCGTAGACAAAACTTTACAGACAAGATTTTAGGACGGAAAAATCCAAAATGGCCGACAGTAAAAAAGTGATTATGAGTTTTTGCCGATTTCCTTTTACAAAATTATCACATATAACTACTGTTAACAACCAGAACAACGGCAACGCCAAAGCGTAGCGAATCCCATCGAACAGAAATGGCTGGTATTTTTACAAACGAAATATATAGCAAATATCATAAAACAACACACCAGAGAGGCCACCATTTCCAAAATGGTTGCTCACTAGCCAAGTTGTCATCAGAAGAAATAATATCTTTTTTAGTAGCCACCTATAAAATTTTTGAAAAATCACACACATGTACTTGTAAAATAACACACATAAAAATGGTGGCCATTTTAACGACTACTCCACAAAGTTTTATGAGACAATGTGCCATGCTTAAAGTATTCACATATCAAATATGAACAAAATCGCTCCACTTATACTTTTCGAGTTATAGTAAAAAATGTAAAAATGACAGCCATTTTTTAAAATGGCCGCCTACTATCTGCAGTGTCATGAGACAGTGTGCAAGGCTCATGAGTATTCACATATCAAATATGAACAAAATCGATTCACTACATTTCAAGTTATAGTAAAAACGTAAAAATGGTGGCCATTTTTCAAAATGTCCGGCTTCTACCCAAAGTGTCATTAGACAGTGTGCCATGCTTATAGTATTCACATATAAAATATGAAACATACCAAATATGAACAAAATCGCTCCACTACTTTTCAAGTTATAGTAAAATACGTTAAAATGGGGCCATTTTTCAAAATGGCCACCTTCTACCAAAAGTGTCATTAGACAGTGTACCATGCTTTTAGTATTCACATACCAAATATAAACAAAATCGCTCCACTACTTTTCGAGTTATAGTAAAATATGTTAAAATGGCCACCATTTTTCAAAATGGCCACCTTCTACCAAAAGTGTCATTGGACAGTGTGCCATGCTTATAGTATTCACATACCAAATATAAACAAAATCGCTTCACTACTTTTCGAGTTATAGTAAAATACGTTAAAATGGCGGCCATTTTTCAAAATTTTTTTCAAAATGGCCGCATTCTACCAAAAGTGTCATAGGACAGTGTGTCATGCTTATAGTATACACATACCAAATATGAACAAAATTGCTCCACTACTTTTCGAGTTATAGTAAAATACGTTAAAATGGTGGCCATTTTTCAAAATGGCCGCCTTCTACCAAAAATGTCTTTAGACAGTTTCCAATGCTTATAGTATTCACATACCAAATATGAACAAAATCGCTCCACTACTTTTCGAGTTACAGCAAAAATTGTAAAATAACGAGTAAAGGCCGCCATTTTTCAAGATGGCTGCCATATGCTTCTTTAATATCTACATTTGTAGCTTTATTAATGTCCTTTATAATTTTTTTACATTTAAAACATATTGCCATTACAGTTTTACATATTGCACCTAAATTACTGTAAAATCGGCACTAAAATGGCCGCCATTTTGAAATGAGCGGCCATTTTGAAAATCGGCTTTCGAGCAGAACTTCTAGCACCATAGGGTATATGTTTACAAAATATGAACAAAATCGGGCCAACGGTATTTGAGTTATTGCCCGGACGGACGGACGTAAGTACGTACGTACGGACGGACGGACGGACGGAGGCGTTCCCTATATCCCTCCGAACTTTGTTCGATGAGATAATAACATAGGCTTTTACAACAAAGTACACCTGAAATTATTTATAAAGCTACTAAATAGTTAAAGTATGAAAACTGAAAAACACCATTCAATATGATACAAAGTATTATCGTGCGCTAACTTTTCTTAAAACATTCAAAATGGCTGACATAACTGAGCTAACAGGTCCAAAACATAATCAGATCTAGAATGAAGTGAGCTGAACAAGATGTTAAAGTTTTAAAAGCAACTGTGAAGCCGTTTTTCTTAAAGTTTGCAGACAAGGATTTTAGCATTTGACTTCAAAATGGCCGACAGGAAGTAGGTATCGAATTAATTTCTTTTCATTCACATCTGTATGCACTCATAAGTTATCCCTGAAAATTTGAAAGTGATATCTTTAGCGGTTTTGGAGAAAACTGCCGGACGTACGGACGGACAGACAGACAGACGGGCAGACAGACAGATGGACAGACGGACAGACAGACGGACGCGCCTAGGCCGACAATATGGCCCCATACTATGTGGTGGGGACATAAAAAGGTAAAAACCGAAGTAACCAAAGCAATTCTTACCTCCCAAACAATTGGAATTGCAATGATCCATAAACTTTTTTAAAGAAGTTGAGATCACATGGCATGCTTCACAACGATAAAGTGCATTTTCTGATTGCTGGGGGTCAACATCTAATAATGCTGACACTTGATTGGTTGACACATAATGCTCTGTCTCTCCCTCTGAAATCATGATAATAATAGATAATAGAAAACAATGTTCAACAAAATCACTCCTTTAATTTTCAAGTTACAGTAAAAGCAAAACCAAAGTGTAGCAAATCCCATCGAACAGCAAATCCCATCGAACAGCCATGGCTGCCATTCATGGCTACCATTTTCGGAAATGGTCCACTCTAGGTCCATTGTCACTAGACAGTGTAATACATGTAACATTATACGTCTAAGTATTCACATATGAAATAAACGAATTAACAAAATTGCACTACTTGTTCAGTAATAACAAATAACAAAAAATGTAAAACAAAACATTAACATGACAAAATGTCACCACCTTGACAGTTGCTCACAATATTATGAGTTCAATCTTAAGTCAGATTTGAACTTCTGAGAACCTGTATATGAATTTGGGAAAAAATTGGTCAATCTGTAGCAAGTTGAAAAAAGACCTTTTTGACCTTGAGAAAGTCATTGAAGGCCAAATCTCAAATCTTAAGTCAGATTTATACTTCTGAGAACTTGCACATGATTTTGAAAAAAAATTCAAGTCAGTCTAAACAGTATTTGTTAAGTTATTGGAAATAAGAATTTGTTACAGATGCCAACTGCCACAACAAAAAACAGAGACCATGACAAAACAACCTCCCCAGCTAAAATCCACTTACCCCATTTCCAGGTAGGCAAATTGAAAAATCTACTTCTTCCATAAAAATTACACCTGCCCCATTTTTTAAAATACTTAGCAGAATGAATAATATAGAATTGATTTTAGTGAAAATCTTTGAGAATTCTAGAGTCCAACTAATTGCACATTTTACAGGGGACCATGAATCATTGATTTTATTGACGAAGGAAAAATTTTGTTCTACTCAGAATTCTATTTTCTCCTCAGACGTTGATTTTTTCGTAATCAATCCTGGACTCTGTCTTCTTCTTATTACTACTATTGTCCCCATCTGATTCTGCCGGACCTTTATTACTCGATGAGGATGCAGTTGTTAAAAATCTTAACATTTTTGAAAACTGGTGACCAAGTTGAATATATGGAATATGGCAAGTAGCCGAAATGTGTTTAAGTTAAAGTCACAATATTTCCATTATAATTTATTTACTCCTGAACCTGGGAATTCTTACCCTTATCCCCTTCAGAGAGAATCTTGTCAGGTATTTATAAAGATAATGATGTTTAGCAGTAGTCCAACCTCCTAGAAAATGTGCATTATTTAGCTAAGAAAGTTCAACATTGACCATCATTTGTTGCTCTTCAAATCAGAGGCCCAAAACTGACTCCCAGAGGGATCTAGCAATTGCTCTAGCTCTTTAAAACAGAGACCCGAAACAGGTTGGGGGAGATTTCCGAAAGATGAGAGTTGGTCATGTCATATCATGTCATGTTGGTCTGTCATATTTGATAACCAATTTTATAAACAGGCCTCATTTGCCATTGAAATCTCAGAATGTTTGCTGTTGATTTATGACTGTTCTATACAAATATGAATGACGTAACTTACTTAAATAGTCTTACTGTATTTTAAAAATGATCATGTTGAACCAAAATAAGCTACCATTTCACAATTTTCCAAGGATAAGTCAGCATATGTGCCTATTTGGTCCCTCATTTAAATGTATGTGAAAATGTATGTGAAATATGGTTTTGTTACTGTCCTACTTTATTTGAAAAGTACATATGCACCTTGAAGACCCATGAAGAATTGAAATGAAAAATCAAGGAAATTATATTTTTGAAATATATAGTTTTTTAACTTTTTCAAATTTTTGAATTTTCTGCCACTTCAATTTGAAGGGGTAAAAATAACAAGATGGTTGCTATCTGATGTACAAAATATCAGAAAAATTTGCCTCACTAATAATTTTCACATTTAGCCCAGTTTACCAGTTTGGACTTTTTGAATGATTCTGACAGTTTAATATTTGGGTCATGTTCGGAGATTATAAAATCGAAACCATTTACTCAAAATGCCCAAAAAGTAATCAGTTGTAAACTTTCATACGTAGAAACATCCCTGAAAATTTCAGATCAATCCCTGAATGGTTTGGATGGAAACCTGTAGACAAGCCTCAATATACAGGATTTAAAGTTGTACCAAAACCATTTTACTCGATTTGGATATATCTATGCTATTTTACTGTGTGAAGGCAAAACTTAACAATGGTGAACCATCAATAATTCCAAAAGTTCATTTTATCATGATATCGGGGATATAAAGTCAGCACTAGTCTGTTTTCATGGCAAAACTAATTTCATTTTTAGAGCAGAAATTTTATGTCACGTGACATAAAGACTTGAAATGCTGTAATAACTAGAAAAACAGCATCTCCATGTAGTAGCAAATCCCACCAAACCAACATATTTTGCTTATTAGTGGATATCGTGAAAATTCATTTTTGAGCAGAGCTTGGTTGTCCCTAAGCATCAACATATAAAATGTAAATCATATCCATCATTTAGCATTTGAGTTGTCAAAGATTACATCTTTTTTTACGAAAAATGGCAGCAATTTTGAAATTCAGCTGCCATTTTGAAAATCTTTCTCAAACAGAGCTACTGTGTCCCTAGGCATCAGCATATAAAATTTCAAAAATATTCATTAACTGCTATTTGAGTTATGAAAGATTACATTTTTTACGAAAAATGGCCGCCATTTTGATATTAAGCAGCCATTTTGAAAATCTCTTCTTCAGGCTAGCTTCTTCGCCCCTAGGCATGACCGCCATTTTGATAATTAGTAGCCATTTTGAAACGCGAAATCAATAAGAAAGACTTTATCGGAAAGCCAAATCGAAAAATGATACAATTATTTTTGACAACTACACTGCTCTGAAGCTGAAAAGGTAAAATCCTTAATAAAAGAGACAAAATTAAATTACCAGGAAAACATTGTAAAACAGATTAATGAATCAACCTGTAAAGGAAAACAATACTGGAACATAGTCAATTTTTTTTTTATCCAGAACTTTTCATGCTTTACTCCCTAGTTTGAAGTGCAATTTTTCATCACATAGCTACAACTGAGGGTGAAAAAGCTGAGTGTTTCCTTAACTTTTTTTCTTCAAAATATCATAATTTAAATCAAGTGGATAACAATGCACTTCCACATTTTCCAAATAGAACTGGAACATCAATTGACCATTTATCTACCAATTCTGATGAAATTCTTCAAATAATCCAGTCCCTTGATCATGATAAAGCCTGTGGTCTTGACAAAATTAATAACAGAATGACAAAAATAGTCCAAGTATCCTTCCAGTTATCCAAATTGTTTAATATGATTTTTGCATGTGGCCAATTTCCCATAGTTGCTGGAAACTTGGAAACATTTCTGCAATCTATAAGAAGTCTGACAGATCACAAGTTGAGAATAATAAACCGATTACTTTGCTTAGTACATTTTCCAAAATTTTTGAAAAAGTTCTGCATAATCGCATTACAACGCATCTACTTGAAAATAACCTTCTTTATCAATTTCAATCGGGATTTCTTCCAGGACACAACACTGAGCTACAACTTTTAGTAATAACTGACTATATCTCTAACGAAATGGAAATAGGGAACTGTGTTAATTCTGTTTATTTAAACGTGGCGTCTGCTTTTGGTACTGTACCGCATAACTTACTCATTCACAAGATGAAATCATATGGAATTCAAGGTAAATTAGCCGATCTTTGCACTTCTTACTTAGAAAATCGAAAAGTCTGTGTCACTGTAGATTATCACACATCAAACTTTTCTCCAGACCAATTCATAAACTCTGGTGTGCATCAAGGGTCCATAATCGGACCCCTGATCTTTCTGATATATATAAATGACCTCCCTGATACTCTGACCTCGAAAACTTTTATCTATGCAGATGACACCTCCTTATACTCTTTCTTTCACCCTTCTGGCAATCAAACTGACCTAAATCTTTTAAGTGTATGGTCTAAAACCTGGCAATTGAAATTTAAAGCATTTAAAAGTGTTCATTTAGTTTTTGCTCAAGATATTCAAATGTCTCCGCTTTACTTTGATGGTGAAATGATCCCTCAAAAGCAATCACACAAGCTCCTGGGTTTCATCTTAGATGAGAATTTGACTTTTAATGACCATATAAATTATTTGTCTCAGTTCAAAAACTGTAAAATCCTTTGAAACTCATATCAAACAAAATACAGTCGCACCATCTTGAAATAATGTATAATTCATATTTGGCATCTCATTTTGACTACTGTAGCTCCATTTACGGATCGTCATCCTTGGCGGCCTCATCAAAGCTTGATAAAATCCACTATCAAGCTGCTGTTATATGTGCTGGGGTACTGCATGGCTCTAATACCTCAAAGACTTTAAAATATTTACAGTAGAAATCGCTGACTAATTTTAAAACTTATAAATGATTAGAACCAGCTAAGCCAGACTAAACAAAGACAAATAAATGGATATTTATTCCTATTTCAAACTTCATACCAACTACAAAATTATTTAAGTAGAACCAACGAAAAACTGCTAAATAGACTTCGAGTTGATTTTGCCTTAAAATACCATTTCTTTACTCATAATTTTACTGGAATAATTGACAACAAATGCCTCTGTGGCTCTACTGAAGACACAAAGCATTTCATTCTAACCTGCCCCTAGCCATACCCATGAACGTAATAAAATGATGACTGCACTTCGTGAACAAAATTTATTGTTTGATACTCAACTTATTTCTAGTAAGACAGGTCAAATATTTAATTTATAAAAATGAACTTACTACTGATTCTAAGAAAATCCTGATAGATATAGTGATGCAATTTGTGCAATGGTAATTGAGTTATCAAAGATTACGGATTTTTTTTCGAAAAATGGCAGTTATTTTTAGCCACCATCTTTAAAAATTCTTTCTTGAACAGAAAGCTATTATATCTTTTGGCATCAGCATATAAAATTTGACCCAAGTCCTTTTACTGGCATTTGAGTTATCAAAGATTACATTTGTTTACAAAAAATGTTGGCCATTTTG